TCACGTCTAGATGCTTAGACTTTGTCGACAACAAGCTGCTCCTATTTATAGGACCAAGTTTTAATATCCACTTCGTCGCTTTTCTATACGTTTTGCTGTAGTTCGATTTTTGTTGTTATTGACCAGAGGATCGTTGGAAAGAGTTGTTTTTTGTATCACACTATAGTAAATTTATATAGTAATCTGAGTCATATTTTACTATGATCACTCTCTGGCTGACTTGTGGATTACTAATTAATTAAAATTGATAAGGATATCTAACGATTACAATCACTACTGGCAGTTCTTATCAATTAAATTTAATTGATAATAATTGATTAATTGTTAGTAATTATAATCTATCAGCTTAAAAAATTTTTTGATGTAGTTAATAAACATATATATTTTATATATATCTTGAGTAGTTATATAATACTTAAAAACTAACTAGTTTAGATATTAATTTCTTTATATATATATTTTTTTTCACTTAGATAAGATTGCATCAGTGATTGATGTTTAATAAAGCTTCAATCTTGTGGAAGATTACAAATATATTACTATAACATTAAAACTATAATCCTAACATCCTATAGTTGCTCATTGGTGATCTGCTGCATTGGCAAAATAAAACCAAAAGGTAATACCCTAACCAGAAGGCTCGTCCAACCTACCACCCTACAATAGAATACTGTTAATCTGATGACATCTTTTTGTAAAGAAGTGAAAAGAAAAAGAAATCTATATAAAAAAAAACACAGAGGTATAAAAATATAATAAAAGATACAAACAAGAAAAGAAAGAGGTAAGAGAAAGAATAAAAAAAAAATCTAAGATTTTTTACCTACATGGACAGTTACAATTATAAGCCTGTGTTGAGCTTTGTAAAAATTACATACTACTATCTAAACTAGTTTCTACTCTAATTTATCTAATTAGTATATTTAAACATAAAACCCAAAGAGAAAAAAATTGACTTCTTCGATATCAGCACCTTATTGAGGAAATAGCCCACAAGTGCAAATCAAAAAATCAACTCCTTCTACCAGTACCATAGAGAAGTCAGAAATTTACACTGTTGGTCTTGAAACATTGTTTATTTAGGCCACCACTTTCGAAGTATATAATTCATATGTTCACATTCTATAAGTATTCACATATTTGTTGTAACAGAAAAAAAGTAAACAATGTGGACCGATTTGGTAAGTAAACAATATGTGGATCTTTTGAAGAGGGTAAACTAAATCATCTACTTTTTTACAAAATTTTTTTCAAAAAAAAAGTAAAGGGTTAACAAGAATATGTGAGGTTCTTTTTGTAAATTTTACAGTTATATAGTCCAGTTTTCTAGTATTGACTTGATATTCTTGCTTAGAAACTCTTGCTCTACTTGTTTCTAGAATAAACCTTCTAGTTTGGATACTAAATATGCTAGAGAGTCCATCGAAGAAAGGAAAACTTGACTCAAGACATAAACCCACCTAATATTCTTATACACCTGCTCCTTGGTATTTCACATATTGTAAGCTTCGTCGACAACAAGTTTGCTTAATGCAAAATCAGAAATATTGTTGTGTTTACTATGTTGCTTTTCTATATCACTAACTGTAGTTCAGTAGATTGTTGTTAATCAAGTGATCATCAGAAAGAGTTTTTTGATTAATTTTTTTATATAAACTAGTTAATAAAGTTTTTTATATATAGAGTCTTTGCCTTGAAAATGATCTTACAGTATCATGTACCATAAGGTCATTTTCAAGGCAAAGACCCCATATAGTTTTACTTTTATATTTTAAATAAATAAAAAAAATATAATTTTTTTTATTTGGTAATTTACAATTTTTATATATCTACAATAAGCTTTTAATGTTACTATTTTAATTTTTATATATTTTATATCTTTCTTTTTATTTTGTAAATTTATTATTATAATTCTCTATTTTTTTATTTTTTTTATATTCTTTTTTTATTTTTTAATTTACTTTCTCACAAGATGATATTAGCTTGGCAATATTTTATTGTAGAATAGTAGTTACACAAACCTTTAATTTATAGTAATATCTTAGTATATTATTCTGGTTATATAGCAGATTATTCAAAAATGCTTTTAGAAATAACTGCAAACTATCATCTTTGTAAATCTTTAGAATAGCAAACTATTTTTTGTACAAATAGTATTATCTAAATAAAAAGAGTAGTACAAATACCAAAGTAAAAAAAAATTAATATTCAATTTAATTACAAGTTTTTGATTAAATTTTGCTTAATTTTGTTAAGTATTAAGTTTAAATAAATATCTTAAATTTTGTATAACTTTAAACAAAAACATTATATTTTAATAATAATTTATTTAAATTAATAAAAATTTATTTTGATTTTACAAATTTATACATATAAATAAAAAAACTTTATTGGTTTTAATAAGTATTAAGATATCTTTATTTAAAGTTTTAAAAACTTTAAGCATATTTTAAGTATAACTATTCAGATTTTTTACAAAATTTTTCTATACAATTTTTTAAAAATAAAATTAAAAACCGGTACCGAGTTACTTTTTTAAAAAATTTATGTTATAAGAACCAAAAAATCAATTTTATATAGCTCTAATTATTTATTAACTAAATATATTCTTGCCATTCAAATTAGAATTTTCACAATCCCGTCAAAATTCCGAATCCCAAGCATAACCAAAATCCCAAACTCTCGAGATTTCTCCGGCAAGTATATATATAGCGTGCTTTATACTTTTATTATAAAAAAATTACCAATAATATTAAATTTACCATCTTACAAAAATTTAAATAATAATTTACTATAAAAGATAATATGCTAATATGCACCAAAATAATAAATATACGGTACAAAAAAATTTTTAGCAATTTTTTAGATAAATTTTTAATTTGCATTTTTTTTTAAGCTTTATTTTTTTATAACAAATTTTGCAAATAAAATTATGTAACAATTACCATTCAATATATTAAATTATTATGTCGAAGATTGCTTTGAAGTGCTCGCTGCACCTAGAGATATCTTCAATTGCATCACATCGAGTGTCACTTGAAAAGACATTTGATTAATAAAATTCTTGGTTAATTAAGCACACAAACAAATAATGAAATTTTGGCATACATTTCAAATTGTTTTGTTTTGTGTTAATCGTTTCCTGTAATTTATCTAAATTCTTTTTGACAAAATCGACTTTATCCGAATAAAATTTTATAGCGTCGTCTGAAGCCTTAAAATAAAATTAAATTGTCAAAATTCATATAAATTATATCATACTAATTAGACCAAACCTTTTCAACATAATATCCAGTTCCAACATCTACTATCACTTTATCTGTCTCAGACAATTCACCTGGAACATAAAGGTATATTCTTTGTTAAGGAAAATAATATAAATATGGCATCTTTTAAGATATCGGCACTGCCTAATTTTAAAGGATATTGATCCCGTTAATGGAACAAGAATTGGTGATCCTAATGAATTCATAAAAAACATGCCATTTAGATGAAAGAAAGAAAATAAAAATAAAAAAATAAAATAATAAATTTGTACCTGATTTTTTTGCTTTTATGTTTTGTAAATTATCTATACAATCCTGAAATCGTGTCTGAGCTTGCTTCAATTTTCCAAAGGAATTTGTTAAGTGGTTTAATTCCTAAAGACATATTGGTGAATATAAATCATTGTAGCCTATTTTTAGAGAAAACGCGAAGCATCTTTAACATAACAGTAAAAATTACAAACTTCTTCCAATTGCTTCTTAACCTCCGCTAACTGCGGTAAATCCAAATCACCCAGCTCAATAGTTTGTTGTTTTGACGCAGCGGACATCTCTTCCTCTTGTTCTGTTGGTCGTCGAAAAGGTTGGTTAGGACGTCTCTTGCCCATTATATCGCGAGTTGGTTACACCGATGTAATACAACTTTATCCAAATTAAGTTTGCAAAAAAAAAAAAAAACCGATAATGATAATCGATTTTTAATGTATAGCTTACAACTAACGCTAAACTTTTTTTTTTTTAACTAATATTGTTAACATATAATGTTAACAGGGTATTTACGCTATACAATAAGCGGTACTAAAGCATTGTCCGTTTGTCGTGGCAAAAAAATTTGTTTGTTACCTAAATCACTTTTATTCTTACCTTTCACAGTAACCTATGGTTCTGTAAATTTATATTTGCCTACACCTTCCCAACTTCCTTCTATCATACCGTCTTCCAGTCGCACATTTTCACAAACTTCCCAAATAAGTAGAGCTCGCCTTTCAGTTAAAGAAATAGACCCAACCCTTGTAATTCCTGAAGATCCATATATTTTAGCAGAATGGGTAAGAAAATTTGGAGAGGCAAATCGGTTAGATGATGCTATAAGTGTAGTTTGGAACGCAAAAAAAAGTGCACAGTCTGAGGTTGTGTGGAACCATTTAATTGTTGAATGTGTCAAAAACAGGAAATTTCAAATGGCGTTTAGAATGTTTAATGAGGTAAGGGATATATTTCAATTTAAGCCGTATTTCATTACTATCTAATGGAAATTCAATAACAGATGAAAAAACACGGATTTGTCCCAAATGAACAAAGTTTTACAATTTTATTAAATGGCCTTGCAGATCATCGACCATTCGTAGATAACATCTTGCAAGCACGTAAAATGATCGACAACATGCAAAATTTAACAAAAGCCAAGCCAGTAGAACTAAACGTAATTCATGTGAATTGCCTTTTAAAACTTTGCTCTCGGCTCAACAATTTTGAAGCAATGCAAGAAAATTTCAACGACATGATGAGAGTAGGTAATTGGACACCTAACAAAGAAACTTTTACTATCATTTTTAACGCTTGCGCAAGAAACGGTGAAAAAGGGTATCTTATGGCTATCCAACTGTGGAATCAATTAAATTCTTTAATTTCCAAACAAAAGAAACAACAGTCACAAATCAGAGAGCATGATGGATATGGTGCAGATTTTGCACCTGGCTCTGGATACGAGATTGAAATGGATGATGAACTTGTAAGATCGATGCTTTTGGTATGCAGTAAAACTAAAAATTATGACAAAGGATTTGAAATTTTGCAGAATGTTTATGGATTTTCAGTATCATCCGAATTGTCAAAAAAAAAGATGTCATCGATATTATCGAATAGACATTTGATTTCACCAAAATCTGTTGATATAATGTTAAACCTTTGCATAGGTGCACGTCAGTACGAGAAGGGCATAATGTTATTTGATGAAACACTAAGTCAATTCCCAGATATAACACTTGATATTCATAATTTTAACAAATTAATAATATGCTATAATCAACTAGGACAATTTACAAAATCCATAGATACATACTACCCAATTCGTGCTCGAGGTTTGGAACCAACACTAGAAACGTATGATTTGTTATTAACAGCATGTCGTATAACAGAAGATTGGACAGCTGGGAAAGAATTTTTCGAGTTAATAGTAAAACAAAAAAGAGAGATTAGTTTGGATTCGCATTTATTAAATATGATATTAGAATTGTCAATATTAAATCGCAAATCTGAGAATTCTCTAGAAAAAGTTCGCTGGACGTTAGAACAAATCGAATTTCTTGGGCCGCGTTGTCCTGAAACAATAAAAAATCTTGCAAAAACTAATAAGGCAAATAACTATAAATTTGGGAACGCGCCTATGCCATTATATAATATTTATGATTTTAGATATTTAAGAAGGATTATTCTAGCTTACAAAACTATTCTGGATTCGGAATATGTTTATAAAATCGATGAGAAGCAAAAATCACAATGGAAAGAAAATTTAGAATTTTACAAAACCGTTTTGGCAGAAAATGAAGATCAGCATCAAAAAAGTGATGAAAGCATTCCACCCGAACGACGATATGATATGAGATCACCATGGAGATATATAGATAAATTTAAGGGTAAAAGTATTGATAGGAAACATGTGAGAATATACGGCGATGATGTGAAATAGGGCCATCTTTTTGACAATGAAATTCATAGTTTAGGTTTGGAATCGGATTCTATTTCATTTGAGATAATAGCCAAAACTCAAGTATATATCAAATTTTTGGCATGGTTATGTTGCATAATACAATAAGTTATGTAAAATTGAAGTTATACTTGATAATTATACTGTTAGAGCTATAGTAGTTTTTAAATAATTTTAATTACTATTTTTAGTAATTTTTTTTTTTGAATATTAATGGTGAGATTATGTTTCTGTCTTTATTAAAATTTAATTTAACTCTTACAAAGCAAAGAATATACAGCTCTCTTACAAAGAAGAGAGAATATTTTTAGTAATATTTTTTTTTTTTTTTTTTTTTTTTTTTTTAAGGTGAGGTTTTGCCTTTATTTTTATTAATACGTATTTTGTATTGAGAATTCACTATGGGTTTCTCTGGCCAGAGCCAATTTACAAAAATTTTTACAAGAATGAGACTCAGACTACCAGAAATTATCTAAATTAGAAATTCTGATTCATCTGCAATCTAAACCTACTAGAGTGGTTAAAACTCACCTAGATTTGATATTTTTAGTAATTTTATTAAACATTATTTTTAATATTAATTAATAAATAATTTTTGATAAATTTTTTTTTACTAAGCTATATTTTAAACAAAAATATAAGAACCAGAATTATTAAACAAATTTTGACTTTAAAAAAAAGGTATTATTATTATATTGCAGTGTGTTATTGGATCTCTTTTAGTATAGGTGGGCATATATAAATTATTACAAGATTATAATATATAAAACTTAATTAATTTAAGCCAATTTAAACCCTAATCTTAACCTTGACCCTAGTAATTTATAAAATTACTTAAATTAGTTTAAAATAGTTAAGTTATATATATTATAATTGTATAATAATTATATATACCCACCTATACTAAAGATCAACCTATTTATTTTGTTATATTAAAGTTAATATTGTTTAAAATTAGAGTTTAAAAAAGATGTTAAGGAGTATAAAACATTTTTACTTAGAATATTTACTATATATCGATTAATTAGCTAATTTTTAAGATAACATAACATAGGTATAAAATGCTATAGATGCATTTTAGTAAAATTCAAAAAATATTGTTTGTTGATTTACAGTATATATTATATAATCATATATTTATATATAAAATAGTCTATAATATTATAGTATTACAAAAGTATTTTATTTTAAAAATCTTAAAATTTTATTATATAAATTAGTTTAGATTTTTAATTAAAGTCTAGCATTTAATTTAGTATATTTATATTCTTTAATTCTAATTTTAATAATCAAAACTTTAGATTTACTCTTCTTAATATTAATTTAGTTTTTGCAATTTTAAAATTATTTATTTTAAGAATATTATTATAGTACCATAGCACTATAATGCTATTTTATATATAAGAGAATATCTATAAATAACATTATACTCTTATATAAAACAGAACTTTAAGTAATATATAGATACTATAGATTAGATTTAAATTTGCTTATTTTTATATAAAATTTGCTTCAAAAATGTTTATTTTGATAAATTTAAAATTTTTGTTATGTAAAAATGCACTATTTATTGAATTTTTTTTAAAAATTTTTTTAATAATCTTTAACCTATCTATATATTACTTAGATTTTATAAAATTATATTGGCTAATTTGTTTTGACCTCAAAATTAGACAATTATAATTAAGAATTGTTGCAGATTAAAATGAAATCTAATCAAAATAAAACTAGAAACCTCTTATGCCCACCTTTAGAGTCTATAAAACCCACATATACTTATTTATTAATAAACCTAACCCTAAACCCTACTCCTAATGCTAAAAGAACCCCAAAAAATATCTTTCAAAAAATTTTAAATTTTCTTTAAAAAATAAAAAAATTTTATTTTGATCAGATTTCATTTTAATCTGTGACAAGAATTATTAAAAAATTTTTTACAAAAATTTATTAAATTTATTGCAAAGCGAATTTTTACAAAAATAGTCTTTTTAACTAACCTTGTATTTATAATTAAGTATGTAGAAATTTAGAAAATTTATGTATTTAGTTATAAGCCAAAAGTAAATTAAAAAAACTATTTTTTTAAAATTAGCTTCTGAATTTACTCTTGTTAGTTATTAACTAATCAAATAATGCCAAACCTATTCTTACACAAATATTTTAACTAAAAATAAAAGTACTTCTTTCTACAGCTTAGCTGAACTCTTTTATTAATTTTATTAGTTGTTTAACTAGTCTAAACATTAAAAAAACTCTTTTATTAGTTGTAATAAATACTTTATTTGTTTCTTTTTAATACCACTTAGAAGCAACTTTTTATATAACAGTTTATTAAAAAAAGGCCCAAAAAATCAAATCAGCTAATATGCTCTTAGCTTTTAGACTATATAAAAAAATTAAAAATCTATATGTTTTATAACCTGTTAATTCAAATTATATGAGTTAATTAAAGTTTTTAGTGTTTAATTTGATATATATATACTTTAATTCTAATTTAATAATTAAAATTTTAAACTTACTCTTCTTAATATTAATTTAGTTTTTGTAATTTAAAATTATTTATTTTATAAATAGTTTTACTTTGGGCCTCCTCTTCTCCCCCCTCTATAACTAATAGTAGCTAGTCTTAAATTAATTTATAAATAGAAAATTAAGAGGTGATTTGCTACACTCAGGTGATTATACAAGATATAA